AATATCTATTATATATCTATTATCTATCACAAGACTATTTATATTATCGTAACATGTAGCTCAGGACATTGTAAACTTGAGTACTAATTTTTATATTAATGAGTTTAGTCCAAACATTTAAGACCTGTTTATCTAGAACAACCAATAAAAATGCATCAGGCTAATTAACTTACATACAAGAAATAATTTTTATGATACTACTAATACATCTGTAAAACACAGAACTGAGATTATCTTACTTTACAAGCTTGACAAGGTAAGGAATTTACTCCCACCTAGATCAGATCTGAAAAGCATAAGTCATTCAGTTAAGTAGCTAATTGGTTATAATTAGCAATTTTATAAAGCACTTACTTTATGTGCTCCGCTTGCTATAACCCATTCTCTTTGATCTTTAACAGCAGCAAGCTTTTGGAAAATGTCTATGGAACAAAGGAGGTCACATAAATTGAAGCTTTACCACTTAATACTTTTCATTTTACTAATCAGATAATACAGCAAAACACTGGGTAAGTTCTTTGAATCATGACTACCTCATTTTATTCTGTTATTTCACTGCGTAAAGAGGTATTAATTGCTTAAAGGAATATTACTTAAGTACAAAAACACGATGTGCTTTTCCACAGTAATTTCATTTTTCACTTGTGTAATAATGCCTACCGTCAATCTATTAATATCTTACCTAACGACCACCTCAAGTATTTTAAACATTTTAAGCCTCACACAAAAAGTGGAAAGTGCCTTTGTAATTTATGTTATCAGCTAGAACACTTACATGTCATGTTGACCAACTTGTCTACATTATGTCGCTCTTCTCTGTAATCAAGATAGCCATTTGCTACTGTTTCCATACACTACAAGCAGCGGGGAGGAAAAATAAAGGATATCATTAAAAAGAAAGTTTTAAGAATTCCTAAACCTAGGGTGTAATGCACAGAAATAGCCTGCAGGGGGTGCATCTGTTTCATGAAAATGCCTCGTCCGCACCAGCCCGCACACTTTTGCTGTCACAGTTGTCAGGGAACAGAGGAGATCTTGGAAGTATAAGAATTCAAAAAGCTCCTGTAAAATTCCAGAAGAGGAAAATCCACCCAAGACTATTAAATACAACGACCCTATTTCTAGGGCCAAAGCTCCCTCCTTTGCAAGCTGCTAGAGTTTGAGAAGAGTTTTCTGGGGAATTACCACTTCACGTTTCTGCTCTTCAAACTTTTCCCTCAGCATCTACGACCGGCCACTGTTTGGAACAGCCAGGCGGATCTTCAGTCAGCACAGCTGACAGGCGCAGAGTCTACAAAACCCACACAACTGCAAGGGAGGATTTTCTTTGGCCTTTTTTTTTTTTTTCCCTTTTTTGGACAAGGCCAACTGGTGGAAAATGGTGGTCAATCTTTTTTAATAACGCTAATAACTTCCTAGTCATACATATTTTTCCAGGAAACGAGAATTATCACAAGGGTGTAATGTCTGTTAGTACACAAAATCATTATATGATTCTCGACATCACTTATATATCGGTCTTACGTATGGTGGCATTTTGAAGTTTCCAGAACGCTGTATAGGGAAACCACAGCAGTTTCAAGCAGATGGTACAGAGAGGCTACAACTACAGTAGTAGCACATAATTTAGAAAGACAACTCACATGAGGAGGACACTACTATGCAAAGTAATATTGGTAATAACAATTTTATTAGCGTTTTCTACTAAAATACCCCAAAATACTTTAAAATGAGAACAAGTTTTTACCTGAAGCTGCCTAAAAAATAAAAAATATGTTTTTAATGCTGTATAAAATAGGCTAATGGATGACTTTAGTCATGTGATTTGGCAAGAAGATTTGGATGCACAATTCACCTTGAAATTACTGCCACCCTCCAAATTTCTGAGGGATTTTTGAAGTCTCATCTGTAACTTTTTCAAACTGCACCTCAGAGTGCTGGAAACCCATTTAACACTTAATTTTGTCTTGCTGCAAAGGACACAAAAGATTAAGTTCCCCAGAAGTTCAGAAATCATAACAATTGCTTCTCGTGACTTTTTAAATTCTTTATGGCAGCAACACTCGATTATCAATTATACCATTTGGATTCTGGCCACCGAGGACTCCACTTGCAGATGTTGCCAATGTCTCGGCAGGCCATAGCACTTTGCACTGTGCAAGCTCCTCAAAAAGTACGGGTAAGCATTAATGACATGTGACACTGGAAAACGCCGAGCAGTTCCTGCAATTTTGAACTCCTGCAACTTTAGGGACATTTCAAACTGGTGATTGTCTGACCAAAGGGCTCAGAGCACACTATTGGTGCTTTGAAATACAGGTGGCTCCATAAGTATTAACGAATGATGACTGCATTCTAGAAAGATACATTTGTTATAAAAATTCTGATTTTTTTTTTTTCTAGAAAGAAAACTCCCAACAATTTCAAAAATACTCAAGATATGTCATATCTCCCTGCTAAATTGGCACTGATGAACCAGTATTAAAACCCCAGGAGTAAAGCAGCATTAACACAAAGCAGTAACAATACAGCAGTCAGTTATCAATGATGTTTTGCAATGCAAAAGGACTGTAGTCCCCACATTTAAACCTCTTCAACATTCTATCAGTATGCTTTTACCTTTGAGAAGTCATTTGCTACAGTTCAAGGTGAATTTACTCATCTTCCTTCAAAAGTCTACAGTTTCTTTTGACTGAATCAATTGTGCTGACTTTTCTAATCCTTCTCCCACTTCAGGAGGCATTTGTTAAGCCTCCTAACTAAAAGTTCTGGGTTAATGCTGCTAGATAATAAGGCCAGTTGCTTTGTACACTAGTGAAAAAAGCTACACCAAGTGCTTATGTGGAAACAGAGGAGTAGATTTGCTTCTTTCCATAAACCAAAAATGAATGTACAGTGCTTCTAACAGTGTATTTCATTCTAATCATCATAAACTGACATGCAACATAATGGACAAAGGGAATTCTACCTGAGCTAGATTTTCAATCCCACCCAAGCTGTGGAGCATTTCCTAAAAGAAAATTAAAAAAAAAAAAATTTACAAAATGAGTCAAAATACAGAAAACACTAGAATGAGAGAACACTAGAATATAATGCTCTGTTTGTTATGAATGTTGAGAAACCTTAACTCCAGTGGTCACAGTCAATCAGTCAATAGATTCTGGACATGCTTAGCATCTTCAGAATTACTTATAATAAGTAGATAAATAAAAACACAGAAGTGAAATTTTAAAAGTTCTAAAACTGGAAAAACAGTATAAGCTTTGGAACACACAGAAAAGAAATACACAAAACCAAGTATCTTAACAGACGTCTGAGGCTTAGTCCTATGAATAACAACTATAACAGCCAGAATAAAATGAAAAGGTAGTTTGTCGTCCAGAGCATTGGGTTGCTAGGAGGAATAGGCAGCTTTCAGTTTTCTTCACTTACTACATTATAGGAATTTTGACATACTGACCTGATAGCACGGATCCCTTATTAATAATCTCAGGCAGATTAATACTCTAAGAAAATGGATGGACGGAGCTTGATTAACCCACTCCCTGTAAAAGAAATATTCAAAACGTAAACCAAATACAATCAATATTTAAAAAGCGTTAAAACACTTAAATAAAACACTTTGATTTGGGAATCAATCGACTAGATTAGTGACCTACAACACTACAACAGCTGCGCAACATACTATACTACAGAACTTTCAATACTATTTATACTCAAACACAGTAACAGCTTTAAATAAATTTATTTCATTTATGAACACTGCCAGCCATCACTTATTATCACTGAACCGATGCAGGAAAGTACATGCTTATCTCTAAGCACAAACGGATCATGCTTTGATATACACTTACTTTAAGTGTTTGGATCAAGGCCCAAAAGGGCAAAATCACTGAGAAACCACATAGCAAACTTCAGTGCACGAAATACACTTATGTAAAAATATGGGTGCTATAGAAGTAAAACCAGCTAGATTTGAAATAATTTTTTGAATTATCATAATCCATCCTAGGTTTTAAAAACTCTAATACTATTAGTCCCTGGAATAATTTCTATTTAGTTTAAATGTTCTTGATATAGGATTATACTTCCAAATAGAACTTCATCTTTTATATTTCTCCATATAACTCCCCAGCACAAGACTTGGCAGAAAAAAACCTCAGATTTGCACAAAGCATCCAGGGGCAGTAATCCTGTACAAAATACCAGTAATGGAACCACTATTTCCATTGTTTGTTGAATGTATATATCCCCATTTTCCTATTTAAAATAAACCTAAAACTGGACATCTCTGCAGTGGTTTGTTGTTGTTTTAACTGAGAGGACATAATCTGTAGTATCTGGGCAAGTCTCCAAGGAACAGAGGTCTATGGAATGTGGCAGTTCTATTCCCTTTTTATCATTTGCAGTTGGGAACAATGCCAATAGCTAAAAATATTTTGATAAAAATAAATGTTTTACAAATAGATTCTAACAAAATCTCAGCCTTTCTATGCCAATATTCTGCCCAAAGTAATACTATTTTTCAGTGTGATTCCATAATTGGTCACTTCAGAACAGCACAAAACTTTCATGGAAAGAAAACAGCAGCCATATACCTGTAAGCAAAATTTGTAGCTCACATTTTCATGTGGTCTGAAGATCATTACCTCGGTGGTTCTACAAAGTTATTCTTTCAAAAAGCTTTGACTCTTGACAGAAGTTAGTTTCTTTAATGGAGAAACACATCTGTCACTTTTCCAAACAGGGACAGTAATTCTCTGAGCCAGGTTAACATTTGAGAGTCTCTTCTACTACAGTTACATTTACAATACACATTACCAGATACCCTAGCATATATGCAGCATATGGCAGCAGGATTTTTAACTACTTAAGCTAAGCTGATCACAGGTTTCTTGTCAACAGAACTACCTCCAACCAGGACTTCTGCCGACACAGTGACGCCAGCAAGTGGGTGTGATTTTTCCTCGCACTCCAACCAACAAAGTGCTGCCAGCAAAAGTAACTAACGCAAATCAAGGTGACGGTTTCTAAGGCTCTGATACAAGGCAATGGCAGCAGTTCTGAACAGAGGACATCATCACAGTCAGAGTAAAATATTTACAAAGGGCAACTAAATCACCTTTGTATCTGCATTTACCTTATGGGTTTTACACACCTACTAATATATGCTTGTTTCATTAACCTTACCTGGGTGCTTTCATTTTTAATACAAGAGGCTGGTTTTGCTATATCATCATCATCAACAAATACCAAAGAAAACAAAACCCAAAATATGAGCTGGGTATGCCACAATATATAAATAGAACTTGGGAAGATACAATATAAGTTATTCTTAGATTTTTGGCAAATGAAGCTGAGCCACTGACATCACACTGGTGGGTACTGAGATGATAAAGTTCACTTGCAAAAAAGAGGTACCAGATTTACAAATCACTTAAATGATCTGTCTTAAGCTCACTGCTATTTAGATAATCAAAGATCCCTAGTTAGTTCTGAAAAAAGGTTGAAGCAAACTATGTGATTTTTAGGTTCTTCTGCAAATTCTAGCAGTTACACCTTAATAACTTTAAATGCTCTAGAATGCTTTCTTTAAGCTTCTGTATCCCTGAAGGTTTTTTCAGAAAATGTTCTTGGGCTTTAAAAAGGAAAAATACAACACACTGCAGTGGTGTATAGTACAAGAAATCCTGAAAACCACATTTTTTTCAGTAAAATATCTTTCTCTGCCCCCACTATTTTTTTTAAGGTCTTGCACTTTTTCCTCGCTCATATGAGAGTAGCATAAGAAAGGCTTTTCCCCTTCCAATCCTGTTATACACACAAATACAAATAATTATGAACAGTAGCATAAATTCATCTCAATTTTATGAAAGCCACTGACCTTTCTATATAAAGGCAGCAGTGCACAAAACTCAGATAAAATCAGTAAAATAAAAATGAAATTAGAAAAGCAAACTATAGATTACAGATACCATATATGGATATCAAGGAAACATAGCAGCGGTTAGAATTCTGGTCATCCAAGTTTCATCATACACCCAGTCCTTCCTTCTTCCATCCCACTAACCCCAGCATTTGGTCTTCAAAGCCAATACAGAAGTGATTGTTTAAAACTGAGATTATGCAGAGATGTGAAGCTGGTAGCTTCCACACAGAGGTCTAGTGTTGAAATATATATGCCGTATATATTGCTGAAACAATATGAAATATTATCTATGCATCTCGGAAAAAAAAAGAGTGTTCCTCCTTCTTGGATATGTATGTGTTCAATATACCAACCTGCAGGTAAGTCTGTTCCTAACCAAGGCTGTAAAGATCTCTTGAAACACCTTATGTTTGGGATGTTGGCTAAAATTTCTCTCATTCTTGTAGGTCACACTAATGAAGAAAAAAAAAAGAAAAATGCTGAATTGCTAATTATCTTGCCACAGGATAATTTTAGATTGCCAAAACTTAACGTTAGGAAGAAAAATTAAGAAATGTCATATCAGCAGTTATTACGGAATAACATAATATCAGATTTCCAGACATTAACAGTATGGAAGAACAGCGTCTCACGTGTCATTTGGAACTATTACAATGGTATAATATAAGCTATCCAAATAAAGAAACTGTTACTTTATTTAAATTTACTCTATTAACTCTCAACAGTGCACTCTGCTGAGTGAGAGCATGTGTCTGAAAGTTACAAAGGCAGACATATACACAGTTAGGTTTAGAAAGCTAAAAATACGTAATTCATATCTCAGATAGTGGGTTAACACGGAAGTACAAGTAACAGACCTAAGTAAAAATATAAATGCCTTCAACAACTCAACAAGTTTTAGATACAGAAAGGTGTTCAGAGATACAACACAGTGTCATCATGTTAGCTTTTTTTTTTTACCTAAACTTTTCAAGCTCAACAGCTTCTGTTGATTCTTGCCATTGACCATGGGGTTTTTGTTCGTTGCTTTTGACATTTTGCCAAGCTCTTGTCACACTGGTTTGACCACTTTCAAAATGTATAGCTAGAAGCTAAGGAGGAGAGGGATAGTACTCATGAGGTAAATGCTGCATTTTGAGTTTTATAAGGATGTTATCAAGCAAAAGTACCTTTTCTCAAGTTCTGACTTTAACTTTGGATCTATAACTTGCCATTATAAAACACACACACCCTCCACGCAAAATAAAACTGACGTGGTAGAAAACTGACACAAAACAAGGCTGGAAACCAAGCACATGGAGATACACAGAATAAGAAGAACAGTGTCTTTTAAACTTTATAATAGTAAAAGCTCAGTAGAATCTGCAACACACACCCATTACCTATGCTCCTTACCAGTCCCACTTCCACAACTGCACAGCCTTTATAATCTTTTTAGGTTGTAGAACTCGGATGTTTCAGCTTTCTGCTCAGAAGCAATTCCACGCCTCTAGCCAGTAAAGGAGTACATAACTCCTTTCTCACACGGATGAATCTCTAAGTCATTTTGTCATATCTCTTTACAGAATAGAAAGGGAGAAAATGTTCTGGCATTCCAAGGACTCACACCCATCATCATGTATTGGTTTTCCTTGCTTCAAATGGCAAATACAAGCTTCACTAAGTACGCTGAGGTGAACGAGCTTTTACTGTGTCCTATAAGTTTCATGCATTGATATTTATGCCCTGAAGATTTTTAGCCAAAGTGTTATTCTCCAAAGACAAATTGTTTATTGTTAAAATGCTGATCTTATTTTATATTCTTTACCACTCTTTATCATGTTGTAACTAATACATCTCTAAGCCTACCTTCTCGTGACATTGTGGAAGGGCATGGAAGAAAACGAATCTGTTAGGCTACCTGATTATATGCAACAATAGCTGCATAAAACCTGCTCAAGATACAAAACAAAGCCATTTTTTTCCTGTTAAAATAAAAAAATAGAGCAGAGTAGGATGGGAAGCAGGTCAGTTTCATTCTTTCACCCTTTCTAAAAGGGACTTGTTCCACAGAGAAGCTCTAATATTGCCAAAAGAAAAAAAAAAGACATCCTCTACACAAGATTTTCCTAACATGTTTAATCATAATGGAACACAATATTCTAAGCATCTGCCACAAACCATAACCACCATTACTTACAATTATACAGTTCTACAGCACGTTTAACAACAGTTATTGAAAAATACCTGTTGGTTCCTTGACTGAACATTTAAGAGAGACTGAAGTCTTTTAAGATCAGAATAATCCCTAGGATAAAACACAATACCATAAATATACACGTTAATAGTTACATAAAAGTACCTCTGTAAGAGTAAAGGAGGTCAACAAGCAACAATGCTCCTGACAGAAAATAAAGTTTTCTAGCGTTGCCTAGTGTCCCCATTTTGCGTACAGAAGAATTTACAGCTCCTCCAGAATGCCTTAAATCAACAAAGGTGTAAATAAACTTTGTGACCAGAGTAACAGTTGTCATGTTTATACTGCATTTCAAATGAAAGCATTCTGCTTTGGCAGCTAGTGCAAATTCCACATGGGTCCTG